CATGTTGGATGACATTTAGTTTACCCCGAGCGAGATATTCTACTCGCAAGGTATCTTTTAGGGATAAAAGAACCAAGACACCGCGGTCATGTTGGATGACATTTAGTTTACCCCGAGCGAGATATTCTGCTCGCAAGGTACCTTTTAGGGATAAAAGATACCGCGGCCACGTTGGATGACATTTAGTTTACCCCGAGCGAGATATTCTGCTCGCAAGGTACCTTTTAGGGATAAAAGATACCGCGGCCATGTTGAATGACATTTAGTTTACCCCGAGCGAGAGATTCTGCTCGCAAGGTACCTTTTAGGGATAAAAGATACCGCGGCCATGTTGGATGACATTTAGTTTACCCCGAGCGAGATATTCTGCTCGCAAGGTACCTTTTAGGGATAAAAGAACCAAGACACCGCGGCCATGTTGGATGACATTAAGAAAAGAAACCAACGGCATTGGTAAGCCTCATCTTCAGACACTGATGGAAAACCACTTTAAATTACCGAAGTGATTGCAAGCCACTCATAGCGAACATCTTCCAAGATGGCCGACACTTTTATGTACGACATGTCATTCACCTTCAACACGTCTTATTTCCATGCATAAGGGTTGAGTATCGTTTGACCTCAACAAGTACCATAATTTCATACGAAGAATAGTGAAAACATAGATATAGCAACCTGGAAGCATGTATAGCACGGCGAAAAAACTTATTTTGGTTCATACTGTTTTTTCTGTACTGGTGTTTCGCGGCAGCCATGTTGTAAGGCAGAAACGATGCAATATTTCTTTCATAACGAGATATTTCATTTCTAAACAAGGACATTTATATCATTGTTTTGCAACAAAACATGGCCGCCAAGACCCCTCTCTCTAGACCGATCCCGGCTATGCTTGACTGTCAACCCAAACATGCCACAGTGGGTAGTTTTCCCAATGAAATACAGAATGTCCGACCAACAAACTCGAATTCACAATTATTAGAAGTTATCGATTTTTTTCTTAATCTATCTGTAAAATGAATTGATTCTATGACAGACATTCAGCACTCGGTGTCTGTTCCATGTTGTATATCGAAAACACATTTTAGCTTGTCCGACGTAGCAACAGTAACTAGGGAGGTATAACAATGAATTCGGGATCGGTGTATAACTTTGCATGGAGTCCCCTATCCGACTGATCAGGAAGTAATGGAAGCAGTAGTAAAGAAAGTTGACATTTTACGAATATTTTGCAGATTTTCTAAGATAAAATCGCCGACAACTTTATCGTTCAGAAAGCAAAATAAACCTGGAAAACTGTTGATCAACTCCAATGTTGCTTTAGATAAATGAAAGGTCAAAACAGAACCATTCTAAGGCTTCGTGTGACGTCATGGCCGGCGTTTTGGTCAACTTCAACAAGGATTTGGTCTAGGTTTCTTTATGTCAATCAGCACTGATGGAGACCATATTTTGTTTTATCCTGTTATTCCCACGGGAAGAGATTTACGGCAACGATTCAAGGTACAACCAAAACCCAAATGACCAACCTAGCGATCAATTATCTGAACCGGCAATCTAATGACGCCCTACTTTTTGAATTCCTAACAACTATTCGCAAACACTTAGTTTAAAGTTGGGACTAAAATAAACATGCATGTCTGATAGAGGAAATACCGCACATCTCCAGATACTAGTAATGGCGATAATGGCGGCGTGATGACGTCATCAGGATCTTATTAAACAAACATTTACCTCCTCTGATCGTCGGATAAGAACTATTTGCAACGACGTCGATTCCTTTGGCGTTTCACAAAAATAGAAAATTCCAGTAAATTCAACGAAGGAATATCTAATTAAAGAAAATATTTTCTATTTTGATGACATTTTTGGGGAGGTTTTTCGTTAAATGTAGACCAAAATTCAGTGACGAACAAGATTATGAAATCTTGACTACTGGATGACCCGGCTCTAAACTAATCAAAACTCAAGCTTGTTTTTTACAAACACATTAAAGTTTTGGACTGTCAAGTTAGAAAAAGTACATTTCGATTGCTAAAATTCACATTCTGTAATATCCTATTTTCTTTAAGAGGTAAGGGAAAAAAATAATACCGAATACCGAAGATCGGAAACAAGAGCAGAAACACTGAGATACGAAAAAACATTAAAAAGCACCAGGCAATCTTGTAAGAGTATACGAATGACTAATGGATTATTTTTCAGGTTAGATTCACTTCTAGGTAAATATTTTTCAATTTTTAAGATAATCTGCTAAAAGCGTGACAAGGGGGGTTGTCTTGCTCACGTCGTTACATGTTACATTTTTTTATCCATGGAATGAAAAACATCCTTCGTAATCTTCGTCACATGCCGCGAGAATTAGTCTTATGGCATGCTAAAATCGAGGGTTTCTCTCGGTAATTCATAAAAAGTAACAAAATTAAATAAGAATATCTAAAAATTTCCCTTTAAGTTATACATTTTGTAAATATCACGAAATTTTGAGTTCAACTCTGCATACCGGAAGTGAAAGTTTAGTCGAGTGAACTAAACTGTAAGTGAAATAATTTCAAAATCTTCGTCTTATATAAAAGCAAGGAAATCAGTCAGATAACTATTAAAGCGTCTAGTTAGTGATGAATTAGCTCTTTATTACTTACCATACTTTCTACTATTGGTATAAAAAGGTACTTTTTTCCTTGATAATGATTTATCGGTGCAAGCCTCACAAATACAAAAAGCCTTGAAACCGTACTGTTCACTTCCTTTCATATTGGACTACAACTCTCGAATCGTTTAGATATCATCACCAATTCCCACTCAAAACAATGTTTAAAAAGACGGGTTTTTCTTCTTCTTTTCTTGATACGAACAGCTCTAATGCCGTAACATGGCGTTCTGCATTCATCGCAAATCGAAATGAATAGGTAAATTTTTATAAATTGTCCCCTACTGCGTAAATTCAACCATAATTGGGTTATTTTTCTATGAGTAATTGTGTGGAAAATGGCAGGGTGCAAGAATGAAATGTTGGTTCTTTCTTTGCTTCAAAAGGAAACAAGCTGAGATAAACACTCTTTAATCAAATCCGAGACTATCTTTTGTAAGAAGAAAGAGTCACGCTAAGAAACGTGCAATAAACAGGATGAATTGATAAACGTCACTTTTATTTGAAGACTTCGTAAACTTTCCAAGTGAAATTTCACGTGGCATAAAATGGGAAACTTTAAGACCAAGCCGAAAAGCTTATAACTGCCAAGACTTTACAGTAGTTAGCAAAGTCGGTGTGCGCTGCTAAGGCGCTTCTTTTCATCTGCTGGTCCCCACATACTCGAACCTACCATCACTGCGTGAGAGTAGAATTTTTTTATTCGTTCTTTGTTGTGTGTGTGTTTTTTTGTTTTTTTTTCTTTCTTTTTTTGTTTGGCCGTATTTTTTCTTGTGTTCTTTTCCGAGAGCCGGCAAAATCTCCTCAAAAATCAACACTCTTTGCCCCGTTGTGTGTAATCCAATGCTCTAGCGGTGAAACTTCATTTAAAAGTGATAAAAGAAAATTTCAGTACAAAATCACTCAATTTTATGTTAATTTTATGACTTCTTTTTGGAGTCCGCAAAACATGGCAAAGACCCAAAGAACGTCACACGCCGCCCTCAGAACTGGTACCGATTCATATTTTTGTTCATTAGTCATTTAAAATAGATAAGGTGTCAAGGTCGTTTGAGATGAAGTGAAAGAAATGAAAAGAAGAAATAAAAAGAAACGAAAAGAAAAGATTCAACGAGCTTCCGCGCATGCTCACTTACATGTAGGAATTCAGGATAATTATTTACAGCCAATTAGAATCGAGTATATTTTGGCGGGAAAAATAAACGCGCGCGCTCCCGTAAATTGGCGCCAAATTAATAGAAAGGAGGAAAGGAAAGAGAAAGACGATCATCTTGAATGGCTTCCTTTGAGTCACTGTTTCTTCTTTCAGATGTAATACAATCACAGAACTTTCTTTAAAACGTTTATCTGTTCAATTCAAGGCAGAGCAGTATTCTTTAGTTATTCCGAATAAGTCTGGCAGTTGAAAAGAGATAGAACCAGAACTACTACTATGAAGAAGACGAGGATTCGACAAGTATTCTAAATCATTTTAGAGACCTTTAAGTGCTAAATAAGAAATAGAACATTCAAACTTAAAAAAATCGTCGTAACACACAAAATGAAACTTTAAACAGAATTGGTATCTAGGGAAAGTAATATGTCAAACTTCTAAAACTAAATACACCTGATTTAAGTCTGATAAAAAGTAAGATATTTCTTTTTACTAAAAGCCTGGCTTTGAAGTTGCATCATCTATCTAGACACATTATACACTTTAGAGATTTAACTATTGCTTAAATATCAACTGAAAACTATAGTTACTAGGTGACCATGAAAAATGCAATTTATTTAGAAGCTCTAGAAATTTCTCATTAAAAATTATAAATATTTATGAACATATAGTTATTCAAATTAAGAGTTTCTTCTTAAGAAATATCTAAATAAAAACAAAAAAGAAAAACATGATATAATATCTTAATAGGGAAACAAAACATCTTTTAGAAGAGCAAGAGTATAAATTTTCTTATTATCTAACTTTAAAAATTCTGAAATTTGCTGCCATAATATGAAAAGTTAATCTTGTTTTACACGAGAAATATGATTTAAAGATACATAAAATATAATAAGATTATGTTGTTGAGTAGTTAAGTGATTAGAATCTCTACCAAAATTTTCTTATATTGCTGAAAGGTAGGAATGTTGTATATGATGGAAACATTATTTCATTTTCTGTATTTGGTGATCCATGTGTTTACACCATACATGAAGTAGAATACGACTAAAGCTTTGCAATCAAGTCTGAACTTTAGATATCAAATGTAGCCTATTAGCTGGATGATGAGTGAAGAAAATTAGAATGTGATGACAGCAATAAAATAAGGGCATAAAAAATATGTATGGACCAATGTTTAGTGTAGAGTGTATGGTGTCACAGACTCCTATAAAAATTCGTTAAAATACAACACTTCCCATCTGAATATCAGGAAAAACCTTCAACCAGCGATTACTAGAAATTTAAGGGTTATTCCAGTAAAGTTTCAGCTGAATTAAAATTTGGATGATTTTCATGCTAGTCCCCCTTTAAAGACAAATGAAAACGATAAAAGAAATACTAAATGAAACCCTCAATAAATTTGTATTTTATAAAGTTTACAACTTATCAAAGATGGATACTTTTGCATATTGAAAGAAAATTTGAAATCTGGACAAAAGTTTAAAAACAAATAAATGAATGCATAAGAAACCAAAAAAAACTTAACCAAGGTACTTATTCATGATGGCAAAAACACTTCAAATTATGAACATATGCATACATATCAAATACACATCACCTTCCAAAAATCACTAAAAATATATGTGTATAATCAATAATTAAGAGACACGATGCAGAAATCCAAACAGACTGCCTCGTTGGTTTGGGTTGGCAAAGCAAACGTTTTCAACAATCCTAGTCAAAAATAATGTAGTGTTTCTAAATTTACCTTTGACTTGAATAACTGTAAAATAGTGCATACCATAGTAGATATCATTGCCACAGTAATGTGGCTGGTTAATGTAATTTCTAAAGAGAAAAAGCTCACAGAACGTATACAGAGGAAAACAGAAAACAGTAATACCATAATCATTTTAAAATGTCATGCAACAAGGATTTTTCCACTCATAGTATCAAATTCAAAATGGCTGTCTCAAATAACCAGTATCAAGTTTCAAGGAATTAGCTATCATATTTGATGAAGTCATTCATGTATTGGGTTTCATGACAATATTATCACCCCTAGGTCATGTAGGTATTGCCATTTTGTACAATATTAAATATATATTCACTATATTTTTTGAAGACAAACTCGGGTATTTTCATTAGTATTCACAGGCATTCGTTACTGGTAATTTTTTGAAATATTGATATTCACTTAGGGTGACTGAGCAGCATTTATGAAATCTTTAGAGACATAAACAACTTAGCCTAAGTTTAATTTTAAGAGAAAATTTTCTGAACAATCTATATAAAGTTCTACTACAAAATATTTCCTGGCAATAGTCCATAATCTTGAGTATTTGATTGTCAATAGATATATGAAATGCTGATAATATTATTGTTAGTGTTAACTCATGCATAGTACGTCTCTTTAACAAGACTCAAAATACCAGTTCATAAAAACAAAAATTGCTTTTAAAGTCTAAAATGTTCTGATATAAATTGCTCTGTCAGTTAAAAATGTGCGTGTAACTTAATTGAATTTTCTGCATGCTTACTCGAAATTAATACATTCTTTTCCTATTTCATTGAAAGCAATATTAAATTATCATTACATTAATACCTTGAGCCAAGTAAACTTGATCACGAAGCATGAAAAAATAAAGACATAGTAGAAGTCCAAATTAAATCAATTATAAATTTACCAAAAAAACAATAGGGATAGCATAATTAGTCTTGATAAAATTTCTACAGTTTTGAATAAATATTAGGAAAAATCCAGAAACGAATATTAACTTTAAAAAATCATCATATTGCAATCAATTCTTGTCCCTTGCCGAGCGTCGTGAGAGAGTATTTGTCGAATACAAGCAACTAATTATTTACACTGTTTTATAAGCAAGTTATTCCCTTCAAATGACCAACATTTTCTTTGAACTCATTGTGTAAGTGTTGATTTATAAGCGGGTTAAAGCCAACAGCCTTTAAAAATCTTGCAAACCGTTACTTCATGACAAGAATATTCATATTCCACGAATGGTTTTTTTCCTTATTCGTATTTATCATTAAACAAACAGATCTTCGTCTCTGTCACTTGAGGTGAACTGAGATTAGCAAGCCTATTTTTATGCAAATAACTCAATGAGCAGTAGATATTTTTCTATAGCAATGAAAATACATCGTCCGTAGAAACGCTTCAGTAAAAACAACTCGACGAACAAGATTTACTTATTTGACTTTCTAATTTAGAATATTCTGGGAGGTTTTATAAGGAAACTCGATAAAAGAACGGTGATAATAACGAAATATTCAAGTTTGGTAACAATACAAGTTTGAAATACCACACACAACATTGGTAGATTTGTCGTAGGTATCTTTATATTTCTTAATCTCACTTTTCCTCGAAAAGCTTTTAAAACAAATATAATACAATGCTCCAAACAGCTGATCTTAACACAACACGTACTGGAAGAAAAAACCTCAAAATTCAAGGCTGTATTGGTGCTTGAAAAAACAGTTGTGAGCGCGAACAACGAAAGAATATCTTAGGTTAGAGGTTGGACCTTTGACAATAAATGATCGTTAAGTTGTCAGTAGTACCAAGAGCTTGAGTACAACGTATAATATTGCTAAAATACTACATCTGGAGACGATGTTTTGTATATGAACGTACGCTGCAAGCAGTAGATTGACATACCTATACAGTTGTGGACGCGAACAGACAGCGAAGTCCGTAGTATTATTGTATTTTTGCGGCTGTAAATACAAGAGAAATATTATGTTAAAGCGATTGGTCTAAATTAGAAAACCACAGTTTGGCCACAATGGCCAGCTCGAGTAAATACTTCACACAGTCGACTGATCAGACAAACCTGAGCAGCGCTTTTGATATATTTAAAAATTGTATACAAACTTGCAGAAGCCATGTTTACAATTTTAGACTTATTACCTGTCGAGGAAGCCTTCCAATAGATCTGCTTGTTCTTCAAGCGTATTTTCCAATTCTAAGTAACACCCATTATGAGACAGCTGTAGTGCGACGTCGTCGATCTAAACCAGTATAATAGCTCAATCAATAAAATACCAACAAAAGCACAGCTTTAAAAACCCTTAGAGAGGCTTCAAAAACACAGTGACGGGAAAAGCCCGTAACAAGGCTCACGTACAGCATGCGGCGCACATAACAGCCGATGTAATCCGTCTACTTGCTGGCACAGAGCAATATTCAGGTGAAATGTGTACGTTGGCGGCCTGGTTGGCTCTGGAAAATTAGTACTGGCAAACGGATCAGTGTCGTCCAAGTACTGTACTTTACATGTAAGCGCCATCTTTGCTTCGGACTGGACTTTCCGCAAAGCCTCATTCGGCGCAAGCGCAGACAGGCCAGTCCGTCGTCTTCGCTGGGGGTTTGATGCGGATCCACGTGACTCATTTCGACGATTTCTGGACGGATTTAGCGCAAGTTCCTTCATTCGTGATGATACTCATTAACTCCTCGTATAGTGATACCAGTATGTAGGCTGACTAGAACCTTCTCGAATTGAAATAACGGTCAATAATACTAACAACTGGCTCCGTAACATGGTGGCAGTCCATAAACCCTCAAATAATGTGCTTGACTGAATCAAAGCTTGATTAGAGATTGATTATGAGCAATCTTAATCGCCCACAAGAGACAGGAGTGTTGGAATGAGCCAATTAATTTGCGCGAATGCTTTTGTGATGTATTACAAAGGAGGGGTTATGAGCGTCTTGGATTTAAGGCAGCGAAAGTTTCTGTGTGCGACAACCGCTTCCGCTGGGCTTACACTGCCGCAAATCCCGGGATAACCAAGACATTTAAAGCTCTCTTTTTTATTGGGATGAACGAGGAATGACTAAACTACTGCGATAATTATCCATAATTTTATATGCGCAACAGGTTTCGTACTGAAACCAAAGGGTTTGATCGGCTTAAGGTGAACACATACCATGATTCTATTAGGGAGCAGCACTACGTCACAGCAAGTCTACTCCGACAATACGATGCAATTAGAAAACCCTGCTTGGAATGAAGGGAATGTAATATATCAATAAACGATATGTCCAATGCCAAATCAAACATCTATCATTTTCTTCCCTTCGATGTTCAACATATTGTGCTTTATATTCAGAAAGAAACCTTGATCAAGAATACGGACACCACTTGACTGCGTTGAACAAAAGTGTTGAAAAAACGAGTGTCAGAAAATTGATGAGGCTTTAGTGAATGGATTACTTTTAATTGTTGGCCATGAAAAAGGCAATTAGGTATAAATGGAGCGTTTAAAATAGACAATAAAACTCCTCCAAACATCAAGCTTGGTTGAGTACAGATATAGATAAAAATATCTATCATGATTTTCACTTTCGATTTTAAAATACGATTTCTAGTGGCCTTGGAAAGCTGTCAGAGATTGTATATGACCGCGACCTAGTCAATACGGCCATGATTGGAAGACTGAAAGGGTCAGGACTCTAGGCGGGATAGTGATCATAAAAATAGTGAGTGTAGATATTCAACTCGGAGTTTCATTACACCGTTAAATTTATCCAGAAACCGCAATGAATGGCGTCTGTTTTTTTTTTTCATTTTTTACCAGAATCTGGTTTTGAATTTCAGGCGAAAATCGCAACAAAAGATAAGAGCTTGAGCGGAGAGCACTTGAATGTGGAGTCAAAACTCTGTCAAGGATTGACATGAACGTCACAGTCACAAACATGGAACTGAGAAACGATGAAGGCATAGTCTTTGATTGTCACTCATCGACTTCAAAGGTTAAACATGATACAGTATTCACGATCTGAGAGATCGCATATCTTTTTTCAGTTATTCTTTATTTAACGGTTGGACTTTACAGAAAAAGTTTATCGAATCACAGTTGGTTTTACCTCTATTAATAGAAAGAGGGATTAATCTAGACGAGCTGGGTCTTCATTGTGAAATGCTAGTGTTGACATATTGAATTATTACAGTTCAATAAATTCGTAATGAGAAGATTTTTTGTTCACCTTTTATTCAGTGTACAAGAGCAACAGTGTAAAAATGTGCTTCCTACGTTATGTATTTAACGAGTGTTCTTTTATGGGACATGGCCATCTTTTTCTTGACTATAGTCTGTTAGGGCAGCTTTGCATGAGGTTTGTTTCACCAGTCAGGCATAACTTGGGGCAAACTATATTCATTCACAAGACAAAAATCTTCGATCCCTGCCCCCGTGTTTGGTGGCAGGGGGTAAAATCAAGGCCTTTCGTTTGAAGTAACGCATTTAAAAAAATCTGCTTGGAAGAGGGAGAGAGTATAGACGGGCAAGACCGTCTTTATTATGGACAAGTCAACAAGCAACTATTTTTGTTTGAACAGCCAAGTGTTTCTTTCAGACAATCACAAGTGACAAGCCCAATAACAGTCCAAGATTCGTCGCGCAGCCTTCAGTGACTCTAGTCTGGCGTTAATGGTTGAAGCTGCAGAGCTAAACGGTGGTATATATGGATGATTATATACAGATGTAATCAATCAGAATCGATCGCACGCTCGTTCCACATCCATCATATCATCAAGGATCTGTGAAGACAAAACATGACGTGTTTATAATCAACCAAACAGGAAACGTGTACTTCAAGCGATCTGAAAACACTTCTGCAATCAAGGAAGGTTCAAGGCGCAGCCGGGTGAATCATGCACTATACAAAGTAAATGGACCCCAAATGTGTCTACGCTCCATTGAATCCAAAGGGCAAAGGAAGCGGGCGGTGTGCAAATGAAGAAGGCTGACAGTGCATTCATTTACTCAACCACCACGGCTCGACGAGGTCATACGTACTGCTTGTGGTTTGGATACAAAATGGTTCCGCGCGCCTCATTTCGGTAAACCGCTAATTAGGGTTTAAAAAATCATGACACGACATCAGTTTGTATCACGTTAGGAATTCACCTTTTCGGCGCTAGCTTGGATTGTGTTACGGTCACCACAAAAGTTCGGACATTGTTCTCGGATTCCCATACAAATTCACTGACTTTAAAGAGAAAATTTAGGTAGATTTCTTTAGTTAGCTCTCTTAACAGCAATAAGAAAAGCTTCAATCAAGCTACAAAAATGATATTTTATTTGTATTTAGAGAACTAACTAAACCAACCAAGTAAATAGTTCATTCAAAGTCAGTACATTAGTACGGAAATCCGAGAACAATGTCCGAACTTTTTGATGACCGTAACGCGATTCAAAACAATTTATGCTACGAGACGGCTTGCGCCGAAAAGGTGAATTACACTGTATTTTCACATTTTGAACATAAGAAACGAAAATGGATCCATTTTATTTCTCTTTGGATGCCTGTCTATCCATTTTGTCTGTCTGTCTGTCGTCTATCTACGGTATGTCTGTCTGTTCGTCTGTATGTCTGTCAGTGTCTGTCAGTGTCTGTCTGTCTGTCTGTCTGTCTACGGTCTGTCTGTCTGAGGTCGGTCGGTCTGTCTGTCTGTCTGTCTGTCTGTCTGTCTGTCTGTTTTTATCTGTTGAATCACTTGGTCTTCAAACAAAGAAATCGGGGGACATTTCATTGATGCAGTCTAACATACTAAACCCTTTTCACAGTCCAGGATACGGAGAGTGAATAAGTGTGTACCTGTGATGGCGTTGTTCCAATCTTCTTAGCGACTTCTTGACGTTCCATCAAACTGAGATGGATGAACTTGGACAGTAGTTCCCAGTCCAAAACATTACGATGAGGGTTGCTGAGAGAATGCCTCTTAGACTGCAACATCCTGCAATACAACCAAACCAGCATCAAAACCAACAAAGACAAGCGGCGGAACGACTTTAAAGTGCATATGACACGAAACATTTTTAATGTTGAAAATGTGTAGTTTATTGGTACTAATAAGAATATCATGGTTAAATTTTATTACAACTAGTTTTCTTATTAAATCGTATTCCTAAAAGTACCTTTATCATGGTTAAATTTGTTTGAAAAACGTATTTTCTAGAAATTCAAGAAAATTTAGCAATACTACGAAACCAACGCCAAAACCAACGAACACAAGCGGCGGAACGCATGCATGATTCCCGTGTATCAGCATATTACGCAGTACCGTAGAACAACAGTTAAGGCCGATTTACGCGTTATGCTTTTTCCCAGCAAATGTCGCGCGCAACATCCTGATGACACAAAATTGCTTCGTGCAAATCGACTCGATTGCGACTGTTAATTGCAGCTAAAACTTGTCGTAAGCATGTTGCGTTTCGAAAAAAGGTTCAGAAGGTTTTGTTGCATACCAAGCCCGAACTGCAATGATCGAAAGATCACAACAATATGGAATTTTACCAAACTTTGTCTGCACGGTTTTCCGCCATATTTTCTTATGTGCTGACATAACTTAGTATGAATATATAAATACATTTAGCTTGGCAAACGGCATGCAACAACTCCTTCGCCGACCAGGCTTTTTTGAAATAGCTGTAAGCTTATGGCAACATCAAATGTATGAACTCGACTGTTATTTTACTTTAAAATGTGTTCTACTTTTTAGAAAGATAAATAAAAGACATTAAAAGCTAGAGTACGTTCACCCAACATTTTTACTATCGGGAGCGAAGTACTCTCCGCCTATGATAAAGCAAAACAGCCTCTTGTCTCTATCAGCCAAGTTTCATACGACTGAGAGATGATAAGATTCCAGAATCTACGGTCTTTGCATGTTTAAAGATCGAAATTGATATATTACTATATAGGTTTATTGGATCTCCAACCTGAATGCCTTGGGGTTGAGTCCTGCCAAGTGTGGGATGCAGTCAACTAGTTTAGTTTGGAGCATGTGCAGACGTCTGTAAGTCTTTTCTGTCATGGGTAACAGGAAACCAAGGCCACCATCCAGAGTGCCTGGGAAGAAGAAAAAAGAACATCAAACTAAACAAAGACTAAAAACAAGAAAAAAATCTATTTAGCGAACGAGGGGTGCTAGACAGAAACAGTGCAAATTTCCCATGATGCTTTGCAGGAAGTTGAGACCCCTTCCTCTACTTGTAAGCTGAATACTAGTGTTGGACAAGACACGTGAGGAATGTTGGGAGAAGCCTGCTGTGTTCTCTTACAAGACACGCACCCGAAACAATCAGAAATCGAGATTTATAACAGTTATTTTATCGCATGTAGAACTTTTCGTTTGTACAAAAATATAATGCTTCTTGCTAAAAATCTCAACCAAGTGTTTCAACATTTCGAACTCATCGTTACAATGGACTACTTTGACGATACGTCAGCCATCTTGGATCGCAAGGCATTATGGAGCGTTTGTTTCTCAGCAGGAAAACAAAACAAAAACAAAGCAGGGTCTGGTAACGAGAACACGCCGCGCTCAAAGATTAAATAAACTTGTACCTACCAAAATACGTCAGCTGACGTAAATCTTTTGCCTTCTCTCCACCTAGCTTTTCGCCAGACTTGGCGCGAATACGAAACATCGAAGTCACGTGACTGCCTATATTTATGTCTGCTCTCTGAAGCAACCGCTGACCACCTGCACTTTCGATAGCTGTGAAGAGAAAAATATTATATTTTAATTATATGTTACGACCATCCCTTTCCGTGAGGGGCTCTCTTATTACCATTATTACCATATTCACAACACATAATATTGATGGAGTGCAAGCATTCCCAAGAGAGTAAAAAGACAAAGTATGGCGGCCATTTTGGTGCCGCTTACAATGGATGCTAATAAGAAATCTTTTGTTAAATGGTACCAACATGGCCGCGATGACGTAACGCGCAAACGAAGAATCCCCAAATCGCATTTGATTTTTCGATTGCGATGCCCTGATATTCAGTTTTAATTTATGCAACGATTTATAATTCTCTTCAAGCAAAAAATAGCAAGATAGATTAATTGAAAATTGGAAGGTTTTGTTAAACGGGATATAAGGAATCATCCTAATAAATAATAATAAGATGATAATAATAATAATAATAATAATAATAATCACAACAACACACACAACACATGATCATTTCTTTTTGTTGGTTTTAATTGTTCATTACGAGTTGGCCATACTGGAAGATCAGCAAGCCGGTTTACTGTACGTACGTATTGTATCAAGCTAGCAAATACAGAGTTATCGATGGTGTTGTTTTTGTTGCTGTTGCTAATATAAATGTTGTTGTTGTTGTTGTTCCTTCTGTTGTTGATGATGTTGATCATGCTTCCGTGATTGTTGCTATGGTTACTATCGGTGATGTTTATAGCACTGTTGCTAATGTTGGCGTTAGTGTTGTTTTTTCCTTTTGTTCAGTGTTGACTGCTGTTTTTATTGTTGATATGATGCTATTATTGCTGCAGTTGTTGTTGTTGACACTGCTTCTAAGTAATGTGTTAGAGTCAGTTTTCCTTCTGTTTTTGGCTGTTGTTGTTCCACATGCTATTGTTGCTGCGGTTGTTGTTGATGTTGCTGCTAATATGTAGTGCAGTTGCAACTCATCTATTGACCTCTTTTTCTGCTGGTGACAAAATCTGAAGACGAAAGCCCCCAGCAGAGGTTTTGTTAGAACTTTTCGCTGGAAACAAATCTCTGACTCCATCACGAAAGTTCTTGCTTTGGAAAGCATATATACCCGGATTACTTGCAGCATTGATAGCGGTTAGTATCTGGTTGATTGTATGGATGATGGAGCCCAACCCAACATGATCCCCAAGGTAGGCAACTATAGCATAATACAACAAACAAGGAAACCAGGTGAAGGCGTACAACAAGGTCACCAGAAAAACTATCTTAGTGATCTTGTTTCTAGACCGAAACAAGGCCTGTTGCGTGACATTCGCACCGTTACTCCTTCGCCAAAGCACAAGCATTACTTTCGTGTACCCAGCGGCCATAAAACCGAAGGGAAGCAACCCCACAAAGATGAACCATGCCATGCTGTACACTTTGGAAACGTCTGTGTCCCACCATGACTCGACACAAAAGTCCTTGTCTTCGCTGTAAGTGACAACCAAGAACAAAGGAGCGTTGAACAAGAAGGAAGTTATCCAACAGACTGCAATGACAGCCTTAGCTTTAATTTTGGTCATTCGTTGTCTTTGTTTGTATGGATGTACAACCGCATAAAACCTCTCCGAAGCGATAGCAACAAGAGTGAAGACAGATGCAGCACCCCCAGTCCAAGTCAGGTTACCACCTGTCATGATCTTACACAACAAATCACCCAGTACTCCATGGGGATGATGAAACGAGTGGATCAAAATGAACCGAGGGATCAGAAAGGTTGAGAATACCGCGTCACTAACAGCTAGGTTCGCAATGAGGAAGTTAACAGGTGTTTTCATTTGTCGTTGTCTGATGACTACAACTATCACGAAACCGTTGCCGATTATACTACACAACACTAGTGCAGTGAAAACAGCAGTAGTGAGAATGTCACTAGTGAATAGCATCGTAAGAATAACAAAAATAGTCTTTTTTTGTCTGCAGTCGGCAAAATAACCGTCTAAGCGACTATGAGGAGGATAAGTGACGAATAATATCCGGCATGTCGATCAAATCCGACGCAAAGCAAACAATAATGGGTATCAAATATAATCATTATCAAAAATCTAGATTAAGGATATCACCTTAAAGTGTAAAGAGTCAAATTGGAGACAAAATTAATTCATAAGTTTCACATGTTAAAGGAAGTCGAGTGACTTTTAGTAAAGGATTTGAACAATACGTGTGAATTGATTTAAATTAAAATTATAGAAAACATCGTTTCTAAAAATCTTTTTGTATTTAGATTTTTTCTTTATCGGAGCGAAACTAAAGGAGGATGAGATTTTTTAAAAGTAAAAGACAAATCGACTTCGCCTCGTGAGTGCATAAAATTTTGGCCAACTGTTGACGTCATATCATGGTAAATGAGATAACATACCACGCAAAACCATCTGAAATTTGTTTACTTGGTTATTGATAGGAAAAGTCTTACCTTCAGGCTGATAGGTGAATAGAATCAAATTCTGGTCCGCGTCTGACGCTGTTAAATAAAATGAAGCATTTCAATTGGTTAAGATATTTTTATCTGGATTTTAATTGGCTAAGAGCTGCGAGTCCGTCAAGACCATTTATGCTGGAACTCACTCGTTATCTCTGTTTTAGGGGACAAAAAGAAGATATGTTGGAAATATGTCCATCTTAGAAATACGACTGTTTTGCGGGACATATTTCAAGGTGGCGTCGTTTTCGTCCCAAAAACCTTCCCCACAATGCATTGCAATGCCAACTTGGCCCACCTTTTTCTCCATTTGGGAATGACTAATTGGGGTGACGTACCTAGAAAACCCAGTTGTGTTCCATCGATGAAGAACTCCGTCCCGTACACTTCAAGGTTATGTGGATCCTGTGAAAATATGAATCTGGATTACCAACTGAGCGGTGAATTTTGTTTCAGCCAATCAAAGCGCGTTTAGCTATTTTGCCTCCGGCCATCATTCCCAGGCTACTGTACCCCAACGTTTGCGTATTTTTCTGTTTTATTATAATTAAAATAATAATGTAAGTGCCTACAAGAAGCAGAAATATGGAAAGGGAAGAAAAACAATTTCACTTTACCGCTGTTTGCTTTCGAATTCGTTCTTCCAAGTTTCAAAAATGCTTAGGGCTGGTATCATGGATTAACAATATTATAGCAGTACCCAAAAACCCTTGCTTGAGAAACACAATAACGGGTTTATGCAGGAAAAACACCCTTCTCCTCTAAGAAAACGTCTTATAATGCTTTTAAGTAGGACGATAATCTAATGGCATGGGGGGGGGGGGGGGGGGGGGGGGGGGGGGAGGGGAATGACTTCTGGGATCAAAACGACAAAACAGTTCTATAAAAGAGGAATTAAACTTGTCAGTATTTTTGTAACTGTTTCAGATGGAAGTTAAATCTTTGAGAAGATTTCCCACTTTGTTCTAGCATTTGTGATCATTTGGACCCGGAAATACGTCACAACTTACATACAGTAAATGCAGACATGTATAAAACAAATTTCAGTACAGCAAACTGTTTGTTTCACACAACAAAGGATAAAAGCAACGATTGCTTCTTATTTGATAAATCCAATATCGCTAAAGATCCACATCTTACCTTACTAACGAAAGCTAGTGTTTTAGTTTCTGTCTGGAAAAGATCAGATGCAATCAATTAGTAGCGATAAACCAAACCTCATGAGAATTGAAAACCTATTGTTATGTCCTCCAATTTGAACTGCATCCCGATGTGCTGTAAGGGATCTATACCGTAGTGAATCAAGGGGTTTTTTTGATGGGCTTATAACCGGGGGGGATTATAACTGAAAGGATATTTGCGTTGACCGGGGAAAAGGCTCGTAACCGGAATTTTACGGTATAAGTCCTTAAACTATATAAAAGAACATTAAAAATAGCACACAGTAATAGTAGCATAAGATGAAAGAGGTATCACCATGAATTGGGTAGGGTTAGTAGAGAATAAAAAAATGACCTATAGGCTGAAATAGATAGAGGTCAACATGCACAAAAACCTAACAATCTAGCGCCATTGCGCGAAGCGTGCAAACGTCTTCATTTACACTGATGAAAGTCTTTGTTTAGACCCAAACGTCTATTTGAAAAAGAGTAAATTTCATAAGTCAGAGACAACTCTAAATCACAATGGTCGGTAGTAAATATAGGTCGTAAAGAACCAATAGTCATACAGCATACCTGTAACCTTAGCAACGTGATGCTCTTAACTAGATCAGCAGCCAGGACAAAGTTTCTAATGGTGACAAGAGAATGTATGTACAACTGTGTATCAATGAATGCCATTCCTATCAGATCATTATTCTCGAAGTTCCAGATGTATATCTACAGGGAAACAAAATAAATGCTTGTCAACACCCACAGATATACTACTTCATTTTCTTCCTGTCTGTCTCTCTCTGTCTGTCTTCCTTCCTTCTAGCAATTTCGTCTAATGATACAAACACCATAATAAAAGGTTCACAAAACAATGTACAGAACTAGGATTCTAAGGAAAAGTTAATCGCCAAACTATGAATCATTTTCTGTTTTCATCAGTCGTAACAACATTTCAACAACTCACCAAGGCGACCAATAACTTACTTTCTGTCCTATACCGCTGACCAGATATCCATTGACTTGGTTCAGTGCTGTGACAGGACCTTTTTGTTCTTTGTCGTAAAGTAACTGAAGTAGAACAAGATATAAAGTCAGGGCCATATACAAGGGGTCCTAATATGCCTACAACCAACCTTTCTAATTGGTACAACCAACGATGATGATGATCATTGACAGTATTTGTAACATGTACGGTTTTGAGGGGAGGGGAGGGGAGGGTAGAGGAGGATAGGGGAGGGGAGGGGAGGGACCCAATCCCATGGAAAATTCTGGGTTTGCTTCAGAATGTCATTTATGGTTTATTAGTATCAAGGGCGGATCCAGGGCGGATCCAGGGGGCGGGGCTCCCTGTCATACCTGACATTCAATTGATTGTTTTATGCTAGAATTTAGTTTTGCCACAGGTTTGAAGTAAAACTTTATGAAATATACATTTGGACGTCGTTTGGATCCTTATCTCAACCTTTGAACCCTCCTCTCTAATATTTTCTGGATCCGCCCTTGAGTATACAGTCAAAGAACCGTTGATATCTTTAGACTTTATATACCTTAAATTTATTCTTGGTTAGCGGCTGTCCTGGCTCAGGAACGACCTCAATGATATCGAAGATTAAAATCTGTGGCATGAATAGTAATAATGTACTAGTTAGATAGCCATCATTGCTAACAATAGATCCCTAGCGCTCGCCTCTCACCAATGCGACCCGGGTTTGAGAACCACTGGGCTCAGTGGGGATGGCTCGGTGTCGTATGTGGGTAGAGTTGTTTGTTGGCTCTCTCCTGTGCTTCGAGGGTTTTTCTCCGGGTTCTCCGGTTTTCCTCCCTCAGCAAAAATCAACTTCTAAATTCTAGGGCACTGCCTGTGGTTATAGATGGCAGAACAACACAATCCTTTTGCTCTAAGAATTGATTTATTTCTTATGTAACGATTGTATTGTTCCTGCCATCTAACATGGCTGCCGTCACGTGATGGTGCAAATGAGCCTGACTCACCCTTCCCCTGCTAGCAAACTCCTCTCCATATAGCATGGTTGTACCAACACAGATGAATCCCTTACGTCCTGTGTGCGTCTCTTGACTGTGAAGCATCAGGTTTTTCATTGCTGCCACGTGTTCCCATTCCTCAAGATCATGCCTAAGAATAACAACATTATGTCATACGTTGCATAGCAACTATTATTTAGGGAAGAAACAGTACATAAGAGATGGCAGGAGTTAGGAAGGTAAGGTAATGAACCCTCGGATAGCAAGTGAAAACGATTAGAAAAAACGTCGTGTATGGACAAGTCGTGCCCGTGATGGTATGGCGTGGCAACATCCTAATTGGATGATTGCTGCTCTGTGATTGGATCAACGGATACCATCCATTATGTAACGTGGCCACGTCACCTGTTACACACCTCTTTACTTTGGGCGTAATATTTTCTCGTTTCAGACCATGTGCCATTCCCTAGAGTATCATTTCTTTGTTTAACGGTTGTGCATGAGAAGACACGTGAATATGGGTACACCTCAAACAAAGAATCTTATTCTCAAGAGAATGACACGTGGTCTGAAATGGGCAAAAATCACGCCCAAGGTAAAGAGAAGAGCGTTTTGACTGATGTGTTGACGGCATTGTCGATTAGTCTTACCGCGTATTGGGGATGATTTCCCAACTGAGAGGTGACATCAGTTGTATGGTAAACTTGTCCATCATTGGATAAATGAACCGAGAATCTACACATGACAACATAAAATATAAATAAAACAGTTGCATATCCCTTCGCAAATCCCCGTGAATGACATTCCCTTCATTACTAGCTCGAGGAAAATTCATACGGTGTCATCAAAACAGCCCATGTGGCACGTATTCTATGACCGAGTTGGAATCTGAATGGGTTGATCTATGTGGAGGTAAAAATACCACCCCGACAAATACCTAAACCAAACTAACGTTTAGGGTTGTAAGCCTGTGGAAAACCGGAGAAAAATTCTCGAAGCACGGGAAGACCAACAAACAACTCTTTTCACATGACGTCAGGTCCGAGGATCGAACCCATGACCATAGGCCTTTTCCGAGTTCGATAAACAGGAGGCATTGTGGTCTAGATTGGGTACAAACAACACTATATAAAGCATGATGTTTGTACCGAAGCTAGACCACAATGCACTATGTTCGCTATCCCAGAAAAGGTCTATGGCAGCGAAAAACGACACATTAGAAAATCAAGGGTAGCATAGCGATAAACCACTCTCTTTTCACCACTAGGGTCTAAGATTGGATTTCTGGACTCATCATCACATGTACGTAGAGTTGAATAGGTTTCTTTCCTATATTTTAGTTTTTTTCTCCAGTTTTCCTCCCTCGCAAAACCCGACACGCTAAATAGACCTAGTCCGCTGCTTTCCCATTTCAGACAATGTGTCATTCCCTAGAGTATCATTTCTTTGTTTAACGGTTGCTCATGAGAAGACACGTGAATATGTATACAATTCAAACAAAGAATCCTTTTCTCAACACGTGGTCTGAAATGGGCAAAACTTTACGCCCAAGTAGATTTGGTCCATTCCATTTGGATCTGTGAATTTGCAGTGCCCAGAATCCCATGCCATACAAACCTCTGTTAGTATCGATGAATTCTTTATCTTCTGGAGTGACTCTTGGGATGTGTTTACATGGTTCTTGTTCACTCGTTACAATGGCATAAGTCTAAAATAACAAAACACTTGAATTAACTTTTTCTGAAGTTCAAACCAAAACTATTGACGACCTCGAGGTAATAAAATCTGTGAGACTGTATTTGAAAACAAGATCTAAAAGCATACGTCCCATAATTCTTTGCGCCACGAGATTGAACCTTTCGAAGACTTAAAATAATGAGACGCAATGGGACCCGGTACTAGTTCACTCTGTGGCGTCGGCGTAAGAATAAAGCGCTTACAAAGCTTGCAACCGTGGTCCTTGCGTGAAGTAAGGGGCAACTAAAAGGGATGGGTGTCGTTGAGTTTGTTCCCTGACAATCTCCGACTACGATAACAGCAGTTACAGACGTAGAGCTTGGAGGAGGGCTACTTGAGATCAGTAGCCGACCAACACAGAAGTGCTTACTTCAAAGATTAGTATTCAGTACATACCTTACTCTCTCTATTGTACGACACCATATGTGGAGTGCATCGTAGAGGTACATACCTTACTCTCTCTATTGTACGACACCATATGTG